ATTCCAATAAAAACTCAACTACTTACTTTCATAGGCAATCAAAATGGTTGTGACATTTCCTGCAAGTGCATTCAATAATTTTAACAATGGCTCAATGCATAATTCTTCATAGACAACATCAGATCCAATAATCATATCAAAAACTCCTTCTTCATCACCCAACATTTTCTTTTTAAATTCTTTCATTCTATCCACTTGATCTTCATTAGCCCATTCCCATTCAAGCTCTTCAACTGAAATATTTTGACAAATTGATAAATCACTACAATTATAAGAAACATTTTGTTTTAAAATCGGAAGAACAATTTCTCTATCGGTAGTAACAACTTTTTTACATCCTAATTTTGCAAGTAAAATTGATGATATGCCACATCCTGCTCCAACTTCCAATATGTTTTTAGATTGGAGTTTTAATTTGTTGGCTTGTTTTTCTAAATATTTGCAAAGAACAGGTGCTGATGACCAAAGCCTGGAACCACAAGTTCCGACGTTATAATCTTCAACAATTCTTATAGTTCCCTTTGATGTTTCTAAATTAAAGTATCCTTTCAATCCGTTTTGTTGATGGGAAATGCAACCACTATCGTTGTTTAAAAGCATTTTTTTAATAAATTTACATTAATTAAAACCATGGTATTTGTTACCACCTTCTAATTCTCCTACTTGGATGGTTTCCTTTTCTAAATAAACTCTTAGTAATAAGATGCCATTTTCAATACTGCTCTTTAGATTTTGTGATGAATTTGTAACAATGACATGTATTTCAGTAATGTCATTGTCGTGCCCAATCATATTTTCAACATCTCCAAATACACTAATACTTGTGAGAACTTTAGCTTGCTCTTCAGAGAATTTAGGAAGAGGAGGTTCAAATTTAACTTTTTGATAAACATATTGACCAACATCTCGTTCAGCTTTTCTGTAGCTCCAAACCTTGCCTCTTAATACTTTTCCTCGCAACTCAGCAATTCTTATTTCATCACTAACTGTTACAATTCTGCTTTGATTCTCACAATAAAGTAAATCATGAG